TGCCGGCGGTGTTGACTCAGGCCAATCTTCGTCGGAAAAAGGCGGGAACAATCAGCGCAGGCCAATTGGGCGACTGTGTTCGTACCAACACTTTCATTGTCGTGAACTCGATGATGGGTTACCAAACCAGCTGTCGATTTGCAGCACTTGCCACGTTCCTCACACGTGAACCCAACGAGTCTCTCCTGTGTACTGGTTGGAACTGGTGCGGAGGCGCCAGATGATTCGTAGTATACATTGTCGAAAGTAACCAGCAGATTGAAACCAAATGGGGTAGTTGGCCCTGTCTGGAGTTGCTGAACTCTTAGCTCACCCAGACTGAAGTCCAGGCTACCCGGTCGGCACCACGAGGAGGTGGTTCAGCTCGCCAGACAGCTCATCCAGACAGCAGCGCCCAGTACTAGTGAATCTTCTCTCTCATCAAATGATGAATCCGCAGCCTCAATCACGGAGTTCACATTCGATCCTCTTTCTGGTCGCACTTGTGAATCCTGATTCAAGTGGTATGAAGACGTTCAAAACTGACCTTTCCAAGTTTGATGGCGGATAGCAAGTTAGAGTATTGCTTCGAAAACTCAGCACACCGAAGCGTGAACGGTACATAGACTTTATTCCCCCGAAGCCGTGACCTCAGCTTTGATAAAGCAGTCAGAAAACTGCTCCAGCTACTCAGCCATTTGTCACAAATGCTTCAAGCTGGTCAAGAAGGATAATGACGATTTCATCACGTTTGCTAGTGTTGCCAATCGGTAATGAGCGCTTCAAGTTCAGTTAACTGATGGAGAACCAGTTTAAGTGCCTCATTTTTGTATACTGTCTCCAGTTGTCCAAAGATGCAGTCATCAAAACTCGGCTGCTTTATAGAACAATATGCTGAAATAACTTTACAGAGCCCCACCACTGAATGTCAACGCCTCACCATCCTGGAGTAAGACACAGCCATGGTTGGCCAATCACCTCTTACTTCAACCAACTGTGCACACGCAGTCAACTTCGGCGTCCCAAAGAGACCTAAAAATATGCCTTACTCCCTGTGCCCACAGACCTAGTCATCCCCCTTTTTCCTTCGGTATCAAACTTTTAACTCAAAGGCTCAAGATGGGATACCTCATACAAACCTTGATCTGGGCAACATAAAATTATCATTTACCGTTGTGGAAGCAGGAGTTCTGAGTGGTTTGTCACGTTGTTGGACTGACCAAAGGCTGCACCAGACCCACTGCTCGGTATATATTGTTTGGGACCCACCAGTTAGTCGTCTATCGAATAGGCCATCAGTTTGAGTAGTAAGTTGAATTTATGTTGAATGAAAGTCCGAACCAATGCTGTAATAGTACTGGTTCAGCTGTGATATTTCAGTGTGTAACTGCTATGCAGCCAGAAGAATGCATGAACACTTGCCCAAGCTTGGAGGAAAGCGATCAAGGGACCGAGGTCGCTTTTCAACCCCATCTTCTGGTCGTCGGCTTCAGGGAGTATCGTTGAGACGTTTAGAATCCGCACGAAAACCAGTCAAAAGAGTCCGAGATACCGAAGATAGACGCTTCACTTGCCCAACAACAAGCGTGCATGCGGTGAAACGTGCATACAAAGATTCAGTACGAGTGTGTAAGGTGATAATAATAAGCAGACTACAATCATGACACATCTTTAGCTCACTTTCGATCTGCTAATCGAACACTGCAGGAGAGTCAAGCTCCTGTTTGGATGAGCATCTGGATGTTGTTCTGCAATCTACCCAGTGTAGAGCTGTTGCACAGTTCTATCTTAAACATATACAGTGGCCACGCGGACTGGCTGCGGACTTGGTTCTATCTTCCCAATACATCTGGAAATTTTCTCATTCTATCCAATTCTATCTTGTAAAAATACCGAACGGCTCCGCGCTAGCTTAAAAACAACCAGTACACGGAAGTCTGGCTCACAAAATATGAAACTTGACTTGTTTTTTTCCGCGATAGTCGCAATAAAATGACCATAAATAACGAATATTTAATCCCTTTCAGAGCACTTCAGGCCTGTTGGTTTCCTTCCACAACTCTCTTTGTGTGCTCACTTATCACAACGACGATTAAAAGACGCACTTTTATCCTTGGTTGTGTAAAATCCAAATCCAGCAAGGAATGGTAAGTTTATTTCCCGTGGTTCTGTCAGTCTCCATTTCAGAATGTGACCAAGGCGGATGTTGACAAGCCTTTTAAGCTAAATGGGCTATTCCTGACCCCGGATGCGTCGGCTTATCTGCTCCATATCATACAGCGCGTCGATCCTACGAAACGGCAGAAAGTTTTAAGACGCCTGATTGAAACTATCCTGAAGCAAAAAATCGACGACACACGTATCACCAAGGTGTTGTGTGAGCAAGCTGTGAATGAATGTAAAGCCGATCGGAACGTGGACAACCCTATCCTTTTTGTGATAGACGCATTCGAGGTAGCTCGTCTCTTGACGTTGACTCCTTTAGGTTCCCCGTTTTCATTACTCCAAGAGTTTGAAAAAGTTCATTCCCCTGGATAATTCGGATTTCGATGGCCAGTGGAATTCTCTGTTTCCTGCCTCATCGCAAGTCAAGTCTTTTTTGTATGCCAATCGCTACGAGGTATGTGTTCAGAAAAACTCACCCACGCGGGCGCTTTCATCTTTATTGGGACTCCTCAAATGGGTATAGCAGGCTGGGACATGTGGATATTTTTGGCTAGGGTTCTGTCGTTGTCATCAGCTGTAAAAACAGTGTAATTGCCGTACATTGGGTATGGCTACCACAGTTTCGTTGGCCGATAATTTGGGGAGGTAGGATAGATAGCTGATATGATTGATGTGTTAATTGGGGGGTGCCAGTGGACTTTAAATGAGGGAGGTCGGGAGGGGGGCACGTGGCAAACCCAGCACGTGATCAGCTAAGCGATCATGACCGAAAACCATTCGACATGCTTGAGCATTATTGATCCATGAGATTCGATGAGACGTCGGTTTTTTGACGCCATCGCGCAGCGACAAGATTTCTGACCCGTATAATAATATGGAACGCACTACGGCATTGTATACCCCATCCTTTGCAGATAAGCTGACGTCACACTTGCGCTACAGGTGATGCGCGTTCGCGAAAGCCACTCTGGTCTTCCCAGTCTGGATGTCTAGTTTTTAGGGCAATACATCTGCACCACACATACCGACCAGTTTATGCAGTCAGTGTGATCATTTCTCCATGGGCCATCAGTGTATAGTTTCGATGTCTTTACGCGCAATCCACTGTCTACTTTTCGCGACCAGGGACGCTTGTTTTTTTTATGGTGTTAAGAAAGGAGGTAAAAGCATAATTTTAGGCTGCCCATTTCAACCTTAACGTACGACAATTTTTTCCCAGGTAGTTCACTATGATGTCCCCCTCTGGGAAGCTACTGGTTTCCGGTCAGTTACTTCACCGGTTTTGTCTTTTTCTGGTACTACTCTCCGTGGGCTTTTCTGCCTCAGGTCATCTATCAACGCGTCTTGCGACATCAGTTATTTTCTCAAACCGCTGCACACGGTCATGTGGGTGCGAATGAGTCTGTCAACTATCGAATTCGACCAATCGAATATTTGTTGGCCTCTGGATCGCGTATTGAATCAGCCATTGTACTTGGGATGCTATGTCAACTACGGGAAGGTATTTGGCATCTAGAGGACCCTACTGGTATTGTCCGTCTCGATCTGAAAGAAGCTGTTTTTCACGAGGTAGGTAGTTCCATGCCTTTGAGTCTGTGTTACAGTTTCGAGTGACCAATAAGAGACTAAACATCAGTTTCTGTTTGCTTTGTAGGGCTTGTTTCCCGAAGGGTGTGTAGTCCTGGTTGAGGGCGCCTATGAAGACCAGATACTACACGTGATGGGAATGGGATTGCCTCCTTGTGAAATGAGTGACGCCTCACGTCGTGCGTTTTCCGTGAGCAATCCTTTTGGAGGTGGATTGGCAGGAGCTTTAGCCGCTCCGCAAGACCCTAAGATGCATCGTCTTCTCATGACCACACAGGTAAGATTGCATGACGGCTCGGAGGGGTTTGTGTTTTTCAACTTCCGTCTTCACTTTTTAGATTTCCGAAGTAGTCTATTTAGATGTCTGTTGAAGACTGTCCTGCTAGTTTTGTATCTGGCTATTTTACGTGAATCTTCGGTGCCTGTCGATGGACTCTCCCGAAATACTCCCCTTTTTGGTCAGGGAGTGTGTAAGCGACCTGAAACTCCAAGATCAGTTGAAACCAAGGGATGACTATTAGTCGGCGATGCCGCCTTGGAAGTCGTTGAATATCTAGTGCCGGATCGGCGATCGGGGTAGCTAGCTTCTATGTTCAGCAGCTGGTACCGTACGTCAACCCGGACTCACTCATATCTTCTGCTGTTTCGCTTTTCTAAGGGAATTGCTTTTGTTTTGCCCACCATTCTTGAGGACTGGGTTTCTGTTTCTGAGCATAACTAGTTTCTTCTTTACTTCAGGCAGGTGCGGATGCCATGCTTGTTTTACTCGGTGAGACCCGACTAGACCAAGGAGATTGCCTTGAAAGATTGTCCACCTTATTTACCGGTTACAGCGCTTGTCCTCCGGTGGCGTTCGTACTTACCGGGAATTTCCTCAGTCCAGATTCGAACGGTCGGAGTTGTGGGGAACGTGTAAGTCAGGATGGACCTTGCGTTAATCTGTAGGTCTAGGTAAACGTTTTTTAACCTAATTTAACAGGATGCCACTCCAAATTTGCTTTCCTTTTGTTGCACTTTAGCTATCGTGCCTGCGCTCCTTGCTGCGCCAACTCCTGTCCACCTACAAAAATGCCTTTCCAGATGTAGATAGCCTGGGTCCCAGTCAATCTCCTCATCTGATTCTGATTCCTGGGCCCGACGACCCAGCCTGTGCGCCGTCCCATTTGCTTCCTAAACGTGGCTTCCCCGCTGAACTAATTGGAGAATTCTCGAGACGCCGAGCAGATATGGCGGTCGAATGCCCTCCATGGCTTCACTTGGCCTCCAACCCGTGTCGAATTCGGTTATACACCCGGGAGGTGGTAATCTTTCGTGCGGACTACACACGCCTGCTTGTAAGACATTGTATTCATCTCCCCACTTTTACGGGTCCCCAAGAAGAAAACACGGACACAACAGGATCGCAGGAAACGCAGGTATGCATCAGTCTCGTCGAGCTACATTGTTAGTCGTTTCAAAACCATTTGGGTAGAAACGTTCAGTTGTGATGCCCTTTCAGTGCACAGTAGCCATGCGACCTGGAGGGAGCACGAGGATTGAGATAATGCCAGAGCCTAGGGAGTGGAAATTGATAAACCAGGGTTGGCTTCGAATCGCGGACCTTCCAGTCAGCAGCTTCGTACCAAACCATCCTGAGCTCGACCTACTTCATACCAAAACTTGGTGTTACAACTTTCACCATCACCCATTGGTACGGCCAAGTCGATGTTTAAGACTACCTTGTTAGAATCTCATTTCAGAGATTGGATTATACCGGCATCTGGCGGTCACTGTTTAGGGAATCTATTAGAACGAGGGAGAAGAAACCCTAAGTGGCTCAAATTTTCATCTGGGTTGCCAAGGGGTATATCCATCTTTGGTTTTAAACTTGCCATTCTAGTGTTTGACCTGGCATCCAAATGTCTCCTGTCATTCATTTAACCGATACATAAAGCATACGGGCTTCTGTAGCAGAGGGGATCAAGACATAGTAACAGGTTGTGATATTTTTTGAGAACTACTCATCACGGATAGTCTCAGCCCGTCTTGGGTGAGTAGCATATAGTGTATTCCGCTCATGGAGCAGCACAGGGGAACTGTTAACCTTTTGTGGAGCCACTGTTTCTCCGTCTGTCAAGAAAGACATGTGTATGGTTGCAGGCCAGTTGTTCCATTAAAAATGTGAGAATCGGAAATCGCTAGAATTTCCCTCATTTTTAAAAGTCTTTCTCGTATCTACGTTTTGGTCTGGTTACCTGGTTAACCCTCGTTGAGCGTATTCATCTCCCGTGAACACAGCTACCTAAATCGTTACAATCGCCGAACAAAATTGACGACCTACCGGCCGATACAGCAATTGTCAGACCAAGCACTCCAGCGGCTCGCCTAGGTGTCGGTCTCGCTCGATGTTTGGCCAGTCAAGCTCACCTGCTACCCCTAATGGGTCACATTGCTCCAGTCTATTGGTCGTGGGATCAGGCATTGAGCCTGAACCCCCTGCCAAACCTAGTCGTGGCGGTCGAGCCTCAGGCACTGGCAGATCTAAATGCATCTACGGCGAACCCCATACAGACTGGAAACTGTCGATTCATCAATCCCGGACAGTTTGGACAAGCAGTGGCAGCTGCAGACGGCAGTGGATTGCGAACAGAATACTCTTTCAAAGTATATTATGCACAAACTGGTGTAGTGGAGAACAGTTGTTTACCGGTTTGAGGCTCATTCCATGTTTCGTCACGCTCATTATTCAACAACAGATTGTACTATTTTTCTCTATGATTATAAACCTATTTTCCGCTTCCTTCGAAGTTTATGAAGAGGCCTTAAAGCTGTGCTGTGATGGGTAATGCAACCTACAGAAAAAACGTTCACTTTCAGTTTCGCTGATAACCAATATACGCACAGAGCACTCGACTTTACATGGTGTTCATCTGAAATGGGAATGCGGCTTTGCAACAGAGTTGCAACTTAGAGGCTTACTTATCGAAACCCAAAGCAAGCCATCCATATGGTAGATATTACTTAACTATTGCGGTGACTGTCAGCATAACCCCCACTCCCAATAGGCGACTGGATGTAACTACGGGTATCAGGTATCTTCTATTCCCACAGACCAATTTTTCACAAGAGTAAACTCTAGCAGTAACGGTAAGAAAGATTTGTCACTTCTTGTAGTGTTCCACAATCCAGATGGATATGGCGGGGTACGAAGTAAACGTCATCATGATGAATTGCATCTTACGTTTTCAGCATTCCCGTTTGTTATCGAACCTCTGTTCTGTTTGATAGCTGAGCCAGCACGCATACCTGGGGTATAATGCGAAGGGAAGGGTGCCCCGAGTCGTTTAGAACGAACCATTATCCTCCGATTTTCACGGAAATAAGTAAGTTCCATTGACAGTATGCTGTGTGCTTTAATCATAAGAAGGCATATATGTACAGTAATTACAAAAGGAGCAGCGGCTGTTTTGAATCAGTAACCAAACTTGGCGTTCAGTGCCGTGATTCCATCCCCTTCCTGATCTGTATAGGAGAGAGAGGAAGTAAAAGAGCGTTTGAATTGGGGAAGTAAGCGTGGAATGAGTGGATAATAATGGAAAGCCGAGCTCTAGTACGTGGGAAAGCGGTACAACTCATGGTTATATGCCAATTAGGTACCTTATCTGTTCGCAAATTGATATACTTAGGGCTACGAACCAATGTTTGGTCGCACACAGAATGATGATGAAAAATTCAAAGTAGCATCTCTCCAGAAGACAACTTTTCTAGCTGGTCTCTTGAGCTTTTTCTTAATGACTTCCTTAGAAGGGGCTGACTGTGTGATTATTGGGAGAGCCGACAACTTACAGAATGTGCACTTTTTATCCTTTATGGAGGCCGTCCGAGCGCTCGCCCCACTTGTCGAATCACACGACCCATCACAATAAAGTCTGCCTAAATAAATTATCTAACGTTGGTCAGTGAACACCAGCACTTGGCACATCTGCGATAGCATCTTGCAATCTGGATGTTACTTGACCCCGAGAGTACGTCCATTTCTGTCTATTCGTTCATGCCACTGCTCGTACAAGGTATGTCGCAGAAGTTGGTGAATATCACACGCTCTTTGCATTCGCTGACATTCGCTGTACCAAAAAACATCCTAAACGAGAGATGTAGTTGGGTACCCCACAAAAACCAAATTGATACGCTGATGTTCTAAGGGCTCCTCAGAAGTTTCCCAACAAGCAGTGATAACACACAAGTACGTTGATTCTCTTCATTTGATTTTACTCCTGTTATTGATGAGATAATGGAGCGTCTCAGAAACTCCGGTGTTCAGATCTCTGTGAGCGTGAACCTTAGCGACCTGGAATAAAGGGGCAGCATTGTTTTCACTTTTGAGGAGTAAGCCCAGGCGTTACTGACTAACACAGAAAGTGAACAGCCACGCTGGATATGGGTCCACATGTTCCTCTCTATGGTGAATGGAGGCACTGAAATATATGGCGGGTAATCTATGCCAGTGATGTTCATGTTACCGGTTTCTATCCAGAAAGTTTGAGCGTCGGAGGTGTAGGCACATCTTTTGTTTTTGATAGACTAATGTCAAGTCCATCTTCCTGTACCCTGTTCCATTGTTCAAGTCCATTGTATAGCAGTGAAGCACCGGTGCACGTGCAGCTTCGCAGCACTGTCACATGTCGGAAACAATACACTTCGGGGCTTTTAACTGCATCAACATAAACAGGAACATACGCGCCGATATAATTCTGTCATCGGTGTCTGGCTCGTTACGCAAATTCTGCAGCCTGGAAAATACCGCATTATAAGCTGACATAGCACAGATGAGGACTGGTGCTTAAACCACACACAGTTCGGTCGAAAAAACAACAGTTATACACTTCCTGGTAAATATATCGTCAGAAATGTGGGAGCTTTTTTGAAAAGCCCAGAAGCAACATTTAACCACATACACTTGTAGGATTACCGTGAGCCTCGTAGTGGGATTCTGACCTGAAAGAGTGGCACGAGAGGTGCACGACCGGAGTGGGGTGTTGCGTGCATGTTCGAAGACTATATATTAGCAGCGAGGAAAAACAAGACTTCAGCGAGAGATGCTTGTTGCTCGATTTGACATAGATTAGGGACACCTGAAGCTCAACGGGGATCAGATCTTCTGAGGTTAGTAAGTGATTATATTTGATTATTTTTCCGGGCGGCGGTTCACACACTGAACAATGGCCAGGGGCCTGACAGATGGGTTGATCACACTGCATCATTCGACGGATGTGAATGATGTGTAGAAGGCCGGTGAGCAGTGAACTGCAAGGGCGAATGGCACTTCCAGGTTACCCAAGCCGAAGAACGGGGCTTGGTTGAGGTACCAACCTTTAGCCTCTAACTCAGAAGTCTGACCCACGAGGCAGTGGGATGATGTAGGGTTTTGCTCGGGGACCCTGCCCCTAGCTCTGATTCAAACGTCTGAACCGCGATGCAGCGGCTGTTAGGGTTTTCTTTGGAAACCCATCCCGGAGCCAATGACTCAACAGCCCTGGCCTACTTGTGGAGGTCAGCCTGGCCCAAGGACGCAGGGAGTAGAGAATAACTGTCACACCCCTAAGGCAGCTGCGCACAGCATGTGGCTTTTAGCATCAACGGACTCTGATTTCAAAAGTATTTTGAGTGTATTGAGTAATGTGCAGCGGTAACGGTCAACCGCTTTGCGATCAGAGTGTGCGGTTTCTAGGGCCGACCTTTTCGATGGAAGGCAGCATCGCTGAATCCACAGATATGGACGTGCTGGTCACCTTGGGTAAACGCCTCACTGACGTCACACTCCAATCGCAGAGAATAGTACGACTTCACCTCCAGTTCACCTCGTAGTACGGGGACTCGCTATTCTTCTTCGGGCTGCTCTCCTTTGGCCTTCCTAGCATGGTTGGACTTTTAGGAACCGAGTTCCAGCCAGCATAGCCAGGATCACTGCAGTACAGAAGCGCGACCACCACGACAGAGTGACAGCTTTAAACGGTCATCCTTACGCTGTATGCCTGTCTGATTCGCTTAATTCGGTCAGCGATTCGATGGGACCAACGGAATTCCTCGTATGAGTACACGCTCCGATAAGTGGAAGCCGAGAAAGATGGCTTTTATCGGGGCCTATCACGAATGTATCGACTAACAAAAAGGACGGCTATTGCCATCCTGACGACTAAGCCCGGGGAAGCACATCTGGGTGGTTGATTCGTGGTCGGCTTTTAAGACTGCGTACCCAAGCCGTCCAACCCGAACGAATGAACAGTCGATCTCGTCAAGATCAGCAGCCCCAGACCAGAAAAACCACACAAGCGACAGACAACCATCATGGTGTACATAGATCCTTAAATCGCCAGATAAGCCTCTCGCTGAAGGGAACAGTCGCGCTGTATTCCACACGATTTGATCAACTGGCCAGAAGAGGACAGGTATCGGTGAAACGATTTGGAAAAAAGGCGAAACAGCGTTTTGTTCAGAGGATGACCGTCTAGAGCAATGTGCTGAACACTCCTAGAGTGGTTCAGTAGGATTTTCTCAATATAATTCCTGAGAGAGCCAAAACATTCCGGATAAATCGTTGAAACCAGAATAGGAATCCAACGCGATAAGGTCCCGGATCAGGATGGTTTGGACTCTACACTTTTCAAAGTTTATTGAAATTTGGTGAGCAGTCTGAAGACTATGCTACAAACAATTTGAAGCAAGAACGGAACACCGGTGGAACAGAACGCTTTGACAGCGATTCTGATAGTCAAAAAGGGACATGAACCTGATGCTAGTTATGGTGGCACCAGCCGGGTAGCCGTAGCATCCAACGTGTCCTCTGTCATTCTCTTGCGCAGATTAGCCGGTTAACAAGAGAACAAAATTTGTGAGAATCCCTAATCAACGAGCAAACCTTTGCTTTGAAGCAGGTGCTCGAACGCCACTCTTCCTGGTATGAAGGCTATTGTTGACTGCGTCAACCATCAGACACTGGCAGTGTCCCGCGATCAGCTGTGCCTCCTCAATGTACGCTGGCTCTTGTGGGCACATACGAGCTTACAATAAGCTTTCATTTAAGCTTAAGTCTACTGGTATGAGACAAAGTTCCCCTGTCTTGCCATTACTCAATGATATGCTGCTTGAAACTTATCTGCGAGCTTCTGAAATGTCGAGGATCAACGGCTGCTCCTCTCGGTGCGGATCCTTTGGGAACGCAAGTCATTTTGAATAACCTGAATAGTTCTGTCACGTGTTTTGGTGTACGCTTGCAGCCGCAAGTGGTAAAGTGCTGCTACAAGATTCAGTACGGATAGTTCGTATCTTATTCCTTCTTCCGAAGAGCGATCATGGGATGAGGAGAAAGTGCCTGTAGAGTGGGGTGTCGACAGTTATCCCTATCTTCAAAAAGGGTACGCGGACTCTATGTGAAAACCACCGTGGCATAAATCTGGTAGCTGTGGTATCGAAGGTGCTCTCTGGCCTTATCCTTCGAAGGTTGACTGAACACAGAGAGAGGCAGATCCGTGAAAACCAAGCTGGGTTCCGTCCTGCAAGAGGTTGCATCGATCATATC